TCATCATGACTGAGGGTTTGAGTATGCTGGCTTTGTTCAAGCTGTTGACCATGCCAGATAATGGGCTCTTCCAGAAACTGTAACTAAGGTTCACTCAGCATAGTTGCAGTATAAACCACAGGTGGGCTCTGTGGGTGTTGAACAAACACAAATGTACCTGAGCAGGCGTCTGCAACAGGGATTGGCTAGCTGCCCTAGTAGATAGGCATCCTCAGATATGAGTGGCCAGCCATGTTATATATCAATCATTGGTGTCTTTATTCACAGAGTAAGTATGTAAAAATTCCCCTTTCTTTCAACTGTGCACCAATAGCTTAGGGGGAAAATCTCTGATGATTGTTGCCGAATCAGTCGGGTTTCAATCCCGGCTTGAAGCAATCAGATGCCTAGCCACACTGATGGGCTGTGAAACAGCAAAATAGTCTCTTTGTGGATGACAATATATATGCACCCAAAAAACTTTAATTTCAGTTGTTCACTTCTGGAAGATAAGTGTAAATTTGTAAACAATGACTATTATTACTAATATTACAAGGCTCTTCCCTTCCCTGAATTGAGCATTGTCAGTCAGTAGCATGTTTATTCACAAAGTAAGTACGTAAAAATTTGCCTTTCTTTCAACCATGCACTAGTGGCTTAGGGGGAAGATCTCCGAAAGTCAAGAGTGATCTTGTATCCCAGTAAACATTCAATGCAAGGATCCTCATTGAGAGTACTACTGTTCATTATGACTAGAGTAAATGCCACATTCTCATAATTTCTATTTCCAAATCATTATATTTGAGGAGTTGATGAAATTCTTTTACTGAAATGTTTTTATCGATTGGTATGATTATGTTGCTAAGAGTGCATATTTTTTTAAGTTTAATGACTATATCTGATTTGTTAGTTTGTGGAGTTCACAAAGATCTACAGGGTAAAGCAGCTAGGAATTATATTGTAGGGATACAAAAGATGATTATCTTACTTTGGTTGAAATGAAGTCACCTGGGTCTTGTAACAGTCACTCAAGAACTTCACTTCATAGAGTGATGAAGATGTTCAGTTGTCAGTCAGTCAGCTTCCAGGATTCAAATCAAGTAGTTGCTTTTTTAAGCATATGTGAGACTTTGTCTCACTCAGGCAAGTTGTCAAAGGGTCAGCTCACAACACCATGGTGCCATTTTCCTTTGGGAATATGTCTTCACCAGATAAAGAAGCTACCTCTCTCTTGCAGTCTTCATTTTGGGAAATACCCATGACTTGCTGTTTTCTCATTTGAGAAATATGTCCTCTTTAATGACATAGAAGATAAAACTGTCTGCTTGAATCTCCATTGAGAAGCCTAAATATATCTAAGAAACAGAAGAATGCTTGTGGCAGTTGGTTCCCCTGACATGATATTAGTACTCTCCATTATCTGGTGACACCAACATGATGTGATATTAACCCCATTAACTGTTGAACACGACGTGATATGAATGCACAAGCAATGAGGTAATATCCTTTCTTGCCCAGCTCCCCAATAATATGATCAGTAGTCTCTTCTGCATGTGTACAGAAACAACATTTCTTATTAATATGTAGTAAGATCTTATTTGCAGGTTTTGATCATGAGCTCTTCTGTTTCTGATTTCAACTTTGTGCTCTACAATCACTGATTTTAAATAATAATAATAATGATTATTATTATTATTAAGGTATTAGAAGTGGTCTCATACAAATTATTAGGAAATTAGAAGTTGTGTAATAATTTTATATGCTGGTATATTTTTGTGTGGTGTCATTTTGGTGAAATATTAGCCACATCAGGATAGTCAGTGCTTGCTCTGTTATCATCTTTTATGTATTATGTCTCTTCAGGACAAGGGTGATCATGGCTCTCCACAACTTTTTAGCTCTAAGCAATGTTTTAATTTTGCTATCCTCCTCACTCTTTGTTCTACCAGCCATTTACACAGGCTTCTTAGGTAAGTTATTGATGTAATGGAATAACCTGTCACCCCCATGAGTGACAACACTATAGGTAGTAACTACCTATAAGTATCTGTAAGTCAACGGACTACAGAGATCAGCTGGGATCTGTTGAGTACAACTCAGACTTACGTGAGAACTACCAACTTTCCAATAGTAGCACTCACTACTGGATTGACTTGTGATGACCTTGTGCATAAGTGTTACCTTTATTCTTATTGTACTGGGTCTTTACAATAAACCTTTACTTATTTTATCTACCTTGTTTTTCAAGTATATATTCCTATTAGCACGGAATATAAGTTATTTACTGCTTCCTTTAGTTCTTCTTGCCTTCAATATATCCTGTGAGTGTCAAATTCTTTAAACCTTCTTTTTGCATTATATTTCTCAGCAATCTCAACTGTTTCTTTCTGATTCTATGTATAAGTGTCCCTTTTCTTTCCATTTTCCTTAAAACTTTCTCATTTCTTTTCCCTTTTTGAATTGTCAATTATATGATTTACTGCTAGAGTAAGATGACCAATGACAAAGAGATCTGTCATCAGAAAAAAGAAATTTCTTTTAAAATCAAGTGGTTAATATGATTATTAATATTGGTTAGCAAATAGAGTGCCAACCACAAGATAACTCATGGTAGGAAGTTTTTATTTGATGCCAACTATAAGTTATTTTGTGCTTGGCATTTTCTGATACATTTTCCTCTGCAAGTGCCAATGATGAGTTTATTCACAGTGATACTTTTAGTGTGAAAAACAATGTTAAGAACTTCAGTTAAAGCTATAAATCAACTCATAAAAAGTTTTATTACATGAGTTGGTTATTGAAGCCAGGGTGAACATGGACAACTGTGCCCCACAATAAGGCAATAAGACATAAGATGGAGTGTCAAAAGGACACTTTTTTTAACTACCTTCACTCTACAGTAATTTTTATTGTTTTAAAAAGTGGTGATTAGAATTTTAATAAAACCTAAACATGTTGAAAGTGAATTTATACATTTTCATTGTTCTTGAGAATTGATAACAAAAATAATAAACACTTTTTATTTATTAGATTGTTTATTTACATTATTTATTATATTGTTTATTGGAATGGTTGGCAAAACATTGGCTAATTGCTAATTGATTCAAACTTTATAAAATGATTACTAATAAGGATTTCATTATAGTTGGTTCACATATTTTAATAATTTAGTAAATGTTTATAAATTTATGAATAAAAAATTGTTTTCAAATATATTTCTTTATAAATTAGTAAATGATAAATATTGTATTAGTTTTCAAAATGTTGCAAATATAGTATTATTCTTGTAAATAAACAATCTTATAAATAGATAGTGTTTAATATTTTTGTTGTAAATTCTAAAGAACAAAAAAAATGTATAAATTCATTTTCATTGTATGTTTAGGTTTTATTCCAATTCTAATTCTCGATTTTTAAAACTAAACATTGCTGAAGAGTGAAAGTAGTTAAAAAAGCAGTGTCCTGGTTAAAATTGTCCTTTTGACACAATGTCTTATTGTGGGCACATTTGTCCATGATTGCCAAAGTCAGATTTTGTAATTGACCTCAACCACTCAACATGTAATTATTTTCAATGAGTAGGCCCTCATATGTTAATAATGATTGCAAAGTGTTTTGCTTTCCTTAAGTCCTTATCAGCTAACAAAAATATTTTATAAATGCTTAAAATTTCATGGTCAAATAAATTTTATTAGACATCTTATTCCTTATTACAGTATTTATTTGTGCATAATATGCACCTGTGTATAATATGCATTCCTAAGTTTGAGCTACAAAATTCAGGAAAAACATCTAGGTGTGTAGTATGTGGTTCCCTTTTGTCTTTCTGAGAAACCAGGTGCAGAGTTGACCTGAGGAATAATCTTCTAGTCCCCGAATGTAGATCCACATGATCAGCCCAACTATATCTATTATAAGAGATAAATAGATAAACACTCATCCCAGTAGTAAGAGTGCACTTTCTCTCAAACATTGCACAAGAATGTAAAGTGCATTTTTGGATGAAGAGCCAGTGCTGCACACAAACACATTGGCCAAAAGTAATTGACAAAGTGAGAAGTTGAATAAAATATAAATTTTATATTTTCATTAATTTCACAATGAGACATTATTACATATATAATACAGACTGACCTTTTGTTCTGTAGTAGCTAAATTAAACCTAGATTTTACATTTGTTCAATTTTTTATCCAGGTTGTATTAACTAAAAATAAGAATTTATATAATTGACAATATGTTTTGAAACACAACATTTACATAGTATTTAGGGCAAACAGGGAATCTTGCAGGAAAAATAAGTTCAAATGAAGAGAAAGCAAAATGATAAACTGATGAATATTCCAGTGGCTATTTATCTGCAATAGAATAAAAAAAAGGAGCAGACCGTAGTGAATATGACATCTTTTTGGAGGAAGAAGGACAAAATGATTCTTTGGACATGTACTTTGCTGGCAATATAGTGATTTTCCAAGCGCAACTTAGATGTGACACAAGGCTGAAAGTAGGGGGCATGTTAGTTGTAATTGTTCTAGCAAGACAAGCTTGCTAACCATTACACTGCCTCAAGGTGCCCAAAATGATTTTCTAAGCATAGCTTAGATGTGGCATGAGGCCGAAAGTGTGGGGCACCCAATGAGGATCGAACTCATTACTCTGTCATAATTGATTGAGCGAAACAAGATTGCTAACTAATACACCACTTTGAAGTGCCATATGCTGACAATATAGATAAGACTAACAATATGTGGCTTTCATGTGGACAGCAATGAAATAGATTAAAATATGCTTAATGACTGTGAGTAAATTTATTTTTAAAACAAATGCAAAGTTTGGTTAGTGATTTAAACTCTTTATTACACATTAGTTAGTTTGGACCATAAATAAAACATACTTTTTGTTATAATGTCTTCTATATGGCGACACACCTGACTTTAAAAAATGTTAATTTTTAGTTCTCCTGTATAATATGAACACCTATTATATATGAATGATTATGGCAAATTTCTCTTATGTATTTCAGGTCAGACGAAATGGTATAATCGCACCGAAAATAATGGTTGGCGCTTAGTATCTGATCGCCTTCTTCATAATTATGGCAAAAACCAACAGACCTGGGAAACTCAAAAAACAATCATATTTCATCCCAGCAAGGTAAAGGAGAAAAAAAAGGTCACTTATATCTTATTCAAGTTTAGTAAAGTTAACTTCAATTATTATTATTATTATTAAAAACCAACATTATTATTGTCATCATCATCAAACAATTTCTGCTATTTCATCCCACCTACCAAGGTAAAAGACCTAAGAAAAAAAAACATTTCATATTAACTTTTTTTTTTTTTTTTCCCGTCTACTTACATAACTTCTCCTTATGTCCAGCTTCAATAAGACAATTTTCTGTAGTTTAGTGGGGTTTTCCAGTTCTTTTTCAATGTGGTTTGTTCAATAATTCCATTATTACCACTGGTATTAATTTCCATATTTCATTTCAGGTCTTTTGTATTTTGATAGTTTTTCAAATTCCTTGGTTGCTATTATCCGCTACAAGCCATTCAATTATTATTTTGACAATAATGTCCTCCTATTTGCTTCCTGTCTGTGTGGATGGTATAATCCCATCCTTCCTTTCTGTGACTGGCGATGTTCATACCAGTGTTTGCTTATGTTTTCCAAAGTGTTTGTAAGCCCCCTTGAGATTTTATATTCATTTTGGGGCAAGTATAGATCATCCTGAGATTAGATGGTCTATTGTTTCTTGGTATTTGTCACAGAACCTGCATTTGGATCCACATTATGTCTGATATTTGCTGAAAATTCCTAGTGAAAAGACTCTGGTCTTGTCCAAGAATAAAGCCTTCAGTTTCAGACTTTAATCCAGATGCTCGTTTGATGTATTTTTTTCTTATTAGCCATGCAGAGTTTGTCTTGCCAGCGTTGTTTCATCTGTTCAAAGGATTTATCCTTGGCTTTCTTTTTCATCTTTTGCTGCAATAGTTGGTTCTTGGCTTCTGTTTTGATTTAAATAATCTACTAAATGTAAATGTTGTTTTGTATTTATTTTTTATTATTGAATATTTTTTCTTTCTGTTTTCATTTGTTTCATAATTTTATCATCCTCATTTGTTGTTTCCATGTAAGTTAGTAAGCCAATAGTTGTTGTCTTGTATGACAATTCTGGCAATAAGACCTCTTCCAAATGTATAGGCGGTCTACATCAATGATGCATCTTAATGCAAATCCATTTGTCTGATGTCATTTAGAGTCCAAAATGTTGAAACTATATTGGACCACTGGGATGAAATGGCCATAATTCTGTTCTGAAATTCAATTCAGTTTTAATCAGTGATTCTATAGTACTCTTTATCGAGAAGGTGAATTCCTTCAATTTTTACACCTAGGTACTTATAAGCTTCTCCTTGTTCTAAATCTTTTAATGTTTAGTAAAACTGAAGCTTTAGCACATTTATCCAAATTGAATTTCATTCTGTCTTCACTGAAGCATTTTACAGTTTGAGACCTTCCAGCTCATTGTCATTCTAGCATACAATTTTAAGTCATCCATGAAAATAGATGGTTTATTTTCTTTTGAGCTATTTTGTAACCGCATTCTGTCTTAAGTTGGCTGGTTAATGCTATAAGTGATATGCAAAATAATAAAGGAGACAAAGAGTCACCTTGAAATATTCCTCTATTGATTTTTTATAGGTTCCATTTTTATGATTGAGGTAAAAGTGTAGTTTTCCATAATGTCATTGTTTGATGAAATTGATGATAACAGGATACCTTGTACATACTTAAAGACTTTAAGATCCAGGAATGGGTACACTACAGATAATCTATCCAGGCAATTAAAATTTTTTTTTTCTTTTCCATTCCTATTATTTGGTCTTTACATCCGTAGCAGCCTCGTTTGCACCTTTTTTGTTCAAGTTAGTATGTCATTTCTTTCCAACAAGAAATATGTCTGTTTTGAAAATAGATGTTAACAGTTTGTATGTTGTTGGAAGACATGTAATTGGTCTATAGTTTTTTTTTGTGTCACTATTTTTTGGGTAGAAGAAAGGTAACTCCTTTGGTCATCCATGCAGGAATTTTAGTTGGATCGATAACCATTTCTTGAAGTTCTTTGGCCCATTTTTTGTGTGCTGTATTTAAATAATATAGCCAGAGAATTTTATCTATTCCTGGAGATTTCCAGTTATTGCTTTTTTCATTTTAACATCTTCTTCTAGATTCCGCCCATGTCTGTTCTGGTTTATTTTTCATTCGTTCTAACTCTTGAGATCTGCCTCTTCGTTTGTGTTCTTTAGGAAAGCCCATATTTTCCCCAGAACTGTATAACTTCTTCCATTTTAGGGGGACTGTCACTTATTATTATTATTATTATTATTATTATTATTATTATTATTATTATTATTATTATTTATTATTCTTCTTCTTCTTCTTCTTCTTCTTCTTCTTCTTCTTCTGCAGCAACAGGCAGCAGTTCCATGAATTTTGTAAGCTGAAATTGACCACTTCCTCCAGCTCATTTGCATTCCTCTGGGAAAGACTTTCCAGTCCACTCAGTGGTGTCAGCCCATTTTTTTCTTCTTTTGCCTAAGGATACGATGGCTGTGAAAATATTATTGGCAATTTATTTATTGTAATTTATAATCATCCTAATTTAGACAGCTTTCAAAGTGTACCAACATTTAATGCAAATGTTCAGATATGAAAAACAAGAATGGGGGAAAACAATCAGTGATTAGATTCTTCTTTGTTTTAAAGATTACTTTTTTCTGCCAAAGCTCTTTTTTAAAGACTTTTTTTTACCCTATTAGTCATGCCCATTAATTTTTTTTTTAAATGTCATGTCCCTTCAGGACGTAGACGTTCATGGCTCTCCACAGATCCTTTTTCTTTATTATTTCTGACTTGCCTAACCTTCTTAGGAAACATAGTGGAATGTGTTCTTGTTAACAACATGGATTTTTTTTTTAAATTCAAACTCTTTTCCTAGACTTATTGCTGCCCAAGGCTAGAGAGACAGTCTACTCTGCTATTAACCCATAGCTAGGGGAAAAGAGATGGATTTATGCCTTTTCAAAGGGTATTAATTTAAAAGTGGACACAACAGGCAGGAATTTGAACACAGCTCATTTATTCCACTTTCCATGCTGATAACCATTATGCCACCCACACATCCCTATGTCCATGAATACAAGAACAAATAATGCTGATGATTTATTTGTTAATATTATTTTTTTTTTAAATGTTTTTTAAAATTTTTTTGGTATTTTAGTAAGTACAAATTTCTAAATTTTTAATCCCAGCTTGAAGGACAGGGGTTTAGTATAATATCTTTTCCTCTCTTTAGCTGTGTTCTTATCTTTGGGTGGCACATGGAACTATGTCCTTGTTTATAGGCAGGTTATAGTATACCATGAGGTGAGCTTGGTCCCAGGGGTTTTGACCCTGCTGCAACCCTTTCTCCATTACACAGAAGCAGGTAAGTATTCAGATACCTGTATAACACTGGTTGTGTGATTTGGACAATTTTTTTTTTTTTTTTAAAATAATCTGTTTTGTTATTTTATCTCATTTTCTTTTGTTTTGTTCTCCAGCTGAAAAGAAGACAGGATGTTCAGAAGCAAAGAAAAGCACGGAAAATTGAATGGATGAAAAAAATGTAAGGTTTGTTGAAGTGCAATACTTTCTGGGAAAGATGAAGAATGGAAGAATACAAAAAAGAAATATGAAATATGAGAGAAAGAAGTATAAAGAAATAGGAATTAAAGAGATATAAAAAGAAAGAAAGAAAGAAGGAACAAAGGAAAAAAACAAATGTAGGACAAAAAAAAAAAAGAAATGTAGGAAAGAGAAAAATGAAAGGAATGTAGGAAAAAGAAGAAAAAGAAATCTAAGACAGAAGAAAGAAAAAATGTAGGACAGAAAAAAAGAAAGAAATGTAGAAAAGAGAAAAAAAAGAAAGATATGTAGGAAAGAAAAGAAAAAATAAGTATATGAGGTCCCAAGGGGAATATTGTGAAAAGTACTAAGGTGCCATTACCCTAGATAATTGGGTTAGATTGATTGATTTTAAAACAAGTTAATTGTTATTAGATAATTTACATCAGTCAAAATCAGTCCTTTTTTAAAATTTATTGAGACAAGCATTAAAAAAGGCCAAGCCACCTAAATCAAGGCCACGCTGCCAACCAAGCTGCTGCAGTTGACTATAGGTTTCAATGTCATACCAACTTTGTGAATCTTGTGGGGATCATACATATGTGGCAGCTTGGTGTAACATTGAGTCAACTGTCTATACTTATTTAGTGTGAAGTTGTCCTTGTTCTTAGTTAGGATCTGTGACAGCTTCCTCTCAATTTTTAGAGTCAGATCCTACCATCTCCAAATAGACTTGCCAATTTCTTGGAATATTCCAATTTGCCTATCATCATTGAAGCATTGTCTTTGTCAGCTGCAATTACAGCTGAATAGTGAATTCAATCCTCACTGAGTGCCCCATAATTTCGGCCTAGTGCCACATCTAAGCTATGCTTAGAAAATCAACATTGCCTTTGTCAGTTTACAGTTTGATGATACTAGTGTCACTCTGTAAGGTCTTTATTGCCAACCTTTATCCCTTGTATAGCCCTAGTGAAACACATACTATGCAGCTAAGGAAAGGATCATTTGCATTGACGATGATCTTCAATGTTTGATTGAGGTGTCTTGGCCTTTTCTAGTTCTTGTCTCATTTTCCTTCTTAGCTCATCTGCTTGAGCTTTTTGGATTTTCATGATGAATCAAGCAAATGGATTATAGATCTAAATATAAACAATCAATATTAGCCTATCCTCAAACCAAATACGTGCATTTATAGACTAAAATGTAATTTTTTAAAAAAGGACTTATTTTGACTGATGTAAATAATCTAATAAGCATTAACTTGTTTAAAATCAATCAACCTAACCCAATTTATATACAAGGTTTCTCTGGAAAGTGTCTAACCATTTAATATCAACAAAAAATTAGCCTATCTAGGGTAATGGCACCCTTACTTTTCACAATATTCCCCTTGGGACATCATATACTTATCTTAGTGTCCATTCTGGTTTTACAAAAGTCTACAATGCTCTCTTTTGTGGTTGCTATTAACCAGACCATATGGGAAAATTAATGTCTTCATATTATTAGCTTCTGTTGTCCACTCTATGCTACAAGAAAAGATCTTCTTAGGGATTCCTTGTATGTCTTTTATGCTAGTCTTCTGTCATCCTTGTCATTGGACAAATCACCGAACTGTAGAATGATTTAGTAGGCAATAGTCTTCCATTCTCAACAGAGATTTTGCTGTTAATAAAACTCCTATTTAAATCCTGAGATATGTATTTACAATTAATAATATCTCACTAAATAGTTTAATAGCAAAGTAACTTTGGGAAAGTAAATAAAATTAAAATTACTGGTTTGACAAGATATATTCCAAAAGTCGTTTGGACTAATGAAGACATTTTTCATGTTTGTTTTCTTGCAACCATGATATTTTGACTGGGCTATTCTACAGCCTTTCTTTTTCTGGTTGCTGATATCCTAACTGCCATTACTCACAAACTTAGTGAAGCACTAGACAATAGATACAGCTCAAGGACTATCACATTAGATATTTAAAAGTACTTTGACAAGATGCAGCATAAAGAGTTACTGCAGAAGGTTTCTATGTATGGAATCACTGGAAGAGTTTTCTCGTTTATAAAGTCCTTCCTAACAGGTAGGTCACTGAAGGTAGTTGTTAATGGCCAGACTTCCAAGGCCCAAACAATTAATGCAGGCATACACCAAGGCCTGCTTCTCAGTCCAACCTTCATTCTACTTTACATAAATGATCTCCCTCCCAAAGTGTATACTCTGACCATTTATGAATATCTCTGCTAACGATACAACAGTATATGAGTGCACCTCCAAAAAACTTGATGACCAGAACTTGACAGTTGATGTTTCCTATCATCAAGCTCTAGTAGCTAAGTGGAATAAAAAATGGCTGATCAAATTCAATGCCTCAAAGACCAAACTGGTGATGGACCCTTTCATCAATCATGATGATCAGGTGTTCCCTCAGGGAGGCCTCATAGCTTGAGCACCTATTGGGACAAACTTAATTCACACCTCAAATGTAACTTGTACATACGATCCATCACTAAAGATGCTGGAAAAATGGTCGGTTCCCTATACTGTTCCAGTAAGTACCTGACTCCTCATGCTATACTCTACCTTTAAAAGAACCAGATCAGACTAAAAATGGAATATTGCTGTCGTATATGGGTAGGAGCTGCACAGTTTTCACTTTCCAGTTTTGACAAAGTCCAAAAGCATCTCTGCATCCTTGTGGGTGACAAATTATTTTCCACCCAGCAATCCTTTCTTGCTGCTCTATTGCTATTTCCATGAAAAGTATTCCGACAAACTACATTCCTTAGTTCAACCAGTTCTAACCGTCATGGCTAAGACCAGCCATGCATGCATGTTATAGTGAACTACCCTCATTCCCTTCGTATTCCATTCATGTTCTACACAAGCAGTTTCTCCCCATGAACTGTTGCTTTGTGGAACCAACTCGCAATTGCTACAATCTTAACCTGTTCAAGTCTAGTTTCAGCCATTATCTTCCCTACATATCTCCATAAACTGTGCCTCTTACTTTGTAACTCTCTACCTCGAGTGGCTCTTGGGCCTTGTACAGGTTGAACATCATTGTAAAAAAACAACCCACAAGGAAAGAGAGAAGTTTCTTTTCTTCTAAATATGGTAGTAAGCTAAAAAAAAAATAGCAGCTAATATTCCAACCAGCTGAGCTAATTCCCAGCAATGTCATCAGCGACGACTTTATTTCTTGTAACCAAGAATTTAATTTCTTTCTTGCTGACTACTTCCTTTATGTTGATAGTATTGAGGACTAAGTAGACCAATTCTCTTCCATGCAAGAATTGGTCTACTTAGTCATCAATTCCATCACCATAAAGGAAGGAATCAGCAAGGAAGAAATTAAATTCTTGTATAAAGCCACCACCACCAATGGCATTGCTGAAAATTAGCTCAGCTGGTTGGCATATTAGTTGCCATTTAGATTTCGTTCTCAACAAATGTGTAACATAGACAGCTCCATATTTTCTATAGATGGAGATGCTCTCTAATTTCCTCCTTTCTTTGAGAAGTTCCTCCTTTCTTTGAGAAGAATTCTACAACATGCTGAAATCCACACTGGCCTGACTTATACACCTGTCGGTCAGGTTAATATACAATGCTCCATCCTCCAATTTTCTCACTCTCAATAAAGGTTCCAAATTTGTTAGTCCGAGTCATAAATAATTTGTTTTTGTTTATCAACTTCATTCTTCTAAAACAAATAAAGTTACATTTTATTTCTTTATATATTCCCCATTATTTGCAATTATTTTTTGCCATTTATTGCCATTGATACCTTTTGAGTAAAATGCCACAGGTTTTGATGTGAAAAAGTTTTCAACAGACTCTTGAATCTGGTATTCATTAGAGAAAGTTTTCCCCATCAAATCTCAGGTGAATATAGCAGGTGGGGTAGGACAGACCAGTCGAGTTCTAAAATTTTATTCTTGCTGTATGTGGCTTTGCATTGTCATAAAGGACAGCTTTTTTTCCTATTGACTAATCTTTTTGACTGATCTTTTATGGACATGTTGCACATAACTGCACATTTAGAATTGCATATTAAAAACTCTAAAGAAATAATACCTTGATGATCCCACCATATATGTTAGATTACCTTACTTCCATAGAGCTCATCTTTTGGTATTAGTTGTGGAGATTTATCTTTGTCAATCCATTGTCTTTTGTGATGAACATTGTCTTATATAACCTGTTGTGTCATGTATATTGCTAAGTAAGTGTTCGACCTCTGTTCTAGTTGGTGTCCGTTTATCATATGAGCTACCTGCTCATATGCAAATTATACTAATCTCCCTATAATGGAGGGGCCTTATGCCGCGAGTACTTCTTGTAGTTCTTCTTGTGCCCTCCTGAACATCTTCCTTTATCTCTCTCCTTTCCCTTGGAGATCTAGATCTATCACGTCTTTCCCTATAATCGAACTGTTCCTCTTGCATACTCTGGTTTTCCTCTTCTAACTCATCCCTCTCTACTTCTTCCTCCGCAGTTTCATTCTGCATTAATTCTTCTGTTACGTCAATAATGGGCATCTCTGAAGGCATTTCCTCATCCGATTCTTCTCCTTGGGATCTTATTTGGTCAGCATGAGCTAGAACACTGTTCCCATTTTCTTTATTTAATATTGCAGTATTATGTCCTTTCTGCATAATAAATTCGGCTGACTCGAGTTGCATATTGCTATTTCTTTTGTACCACATCTTTTGATTTGTGGCATATGACATAGTCAAAGGGGACCTTAATTGTCTGCCCATTAAGGCAGATGGACTTTCCGGCCTGCCTGCATGTGGAATTGTTCTGTAACTTAATAATAGTCTTGGTAGAAAAGCATCGATTTCCTCCTTCTGTTGCAAGCATGCTTTTATGCCCTTCTTTACCGTCTGGACCATCCTTTCTGCTGTCCCATTACTTTGAGGGTGGTAGGGAGGGGTCTTGTAAGGTCTGCATCCTATTTTTCTTAGCCATTCATGCAAATCAGCATCCACA